GGGGATACGCGAAGCGTCTAGAATTGCCCATTTCTTTCGCAAAACGTATTTTTTTCAACGAATTCGCCTCGTGGGCTTTCCGACGCTCCAAAACGGCCCAAGAGGCCCCGAAAACCGCCCCAAGACGGCCCAAGAGGCCCCCAAGACCCCCACGACGGCCCAAAATGGCCCCATGACGGCCCAAGAGGTCCCCAAGACAGCCCAAGAAGGCTCCAAGAGGGCACCAAGAGGGGCCCAAGAGGGCAACTAAAAATTCAAAAATCTAGCTTTCCGCCCCCACGAGCCCCATGGGGGCCACAATAATGCCCCAAGAGGCCGCCAGAGGCCCCCAAGAGGCCGCCAAGACGCCCCAAGGAGCCCCCAATAGGCCCCAAGAGGCCCCCCAAAGACCCCCAGACGCTTCCGTATTGCGAGCCGTCAGGCCAACTGCAATGCACTCCGCGCATACAGCCTGGCTCTTTTTCGCGACGTGCTCGCTATCTTGCTCGGCGCTAATGTGCTGCTGCCGCGCAAACTGTTTCGTGCGCGCTGCGAACGTCAACGACCTCTTCACCCGTTTCGATTCATCTGCCACATTTTTCGCGTTGATGCCTCGCTGGTCACAATTTCCGCACGCTACTCTTGTTCCTTTCGTCTTCCGGTGGTCCTCCACTTGGTTGCGGGTCGAAAGGCCGACCTCCCAGAAGGACACCCCGCACCCGGGTGCACAGCACGCAAGGCGCTCGCAAAACACGCCCCAGATCACCGGCATCAAGCAAACATTTGGACCCCCTGCGTATCTGCCACCACCCGCGCGCGACACCGCACCCTCACACAAGACGCCGTTGGCCAAAAATTCCTGGCCTCGCAACGCTCACAGAAGGGGTCGGCGGATGTGGCGCAAGCCTGTAGAATCTATAGGTGTCCTGGGGAGTCCCCGGATTCCCCGGATTCACCCGGCACCCGCCCAGACCCCCCTGGGGAGTCAAAATGCTCTTTTTTGAGCCCAGTAGAAACCTATCAGTTTTCGCTCTTAGGTAACAAGAACCTTGGTCCTATGGGGCAAAAGTGCCATCTGTCTCGATTTTCAGTCGAGCTGACGCCATGGCTGACGCCATTCAGGCCCAGGAAGGGGATCTGGGGGGGAGGGGGGCTGACGCCATGGCTGACGTTATTCAGGCCTGGGAAAGGAGAGGGGGGGGAAGGCCGACGCCATGGCTGACTCCATTCACGCCGGGGACGGGGTAGTCGGGGGGGGGCGGGGGCTGACGCCATGGCTGACGCCATTCAGGCCCGGTGGGAGGGACATCCCATGAGTTTGGCTGTTCACGCGAGATCGTTACTTTCGAAGATCCGAAGGTTGCCCAAGCGAGCTCAACATCTCTATCTTATGAGGATGTCTCGAGCGAGTGCTCTACTTTTAAACATAACAGATCATCCGATGCAAGCAGCCTCGGTAGCACCCCGGATCGGCGGCACTGGCCCGAGGCCACTACAATCTCAGAGATCTGGCGGCTCCGGAAGATGTATCTGGCGCCGTGGCCTTCCCAGAGATCTGTGAGCGTTCCGGAACGCTCTGGAGGCGAGTTGTCCTCGTCCTAGCCCCGCCCGAGAACCCCAGTGAGGTGCAGGAAGATGAAGGTCCCGAAGGGGAGCGATTGAGGAAGAGACCGGCTCCAGGGGTGGAAAAAACATCGATCTGGAATCAAAGACAAAGCTCGGCGCCAAGCCCCCGGTGGCGAATCCGGACTTTTCTGGGCGGGGTGGGCTGTAGGGCCCCGATCCACGATGAACGGGGGATTGGGGGTGGATGCGCCCCTCTCTGTGCCTATCCCCCCCCCCCTTCTCGCTGCCCCTAGAAGGGCTGGTCCCCAGGAGCCCCCTTGGAAGATCTGAAAGGCCCTGCGAGGATCTGGAGGCCTCCTGGATGGGTCCGAGTCGGCGACGGACAAACCTGCCAAGCAAACCTCCCCTTAATGAAAACGGCCTGGGACCGAAACCGACGGACCTGGACCCGTAAAAATGACGGCCGCGACGCTCTCTCGCGAACCGAAAACCGCAAATTCCTCACTCGACGTGTCAGGGTAGGAGGTCTATCAACCTTTGACCGAGTAGATCGGGTGATCGCGCCGCATCGGCGTCCCCAAGAGACTCCTCCTCCTCCTCCTCCTCCTCCTGCTCCTGCTCCTCCTCATCCATCCTCCTCCTCCTCCCGCCTTCTCCTCCCGCCTTCTCCTCCTCCTCCTCCATACTCCTCCTCCTCCATACTCCTCCTCCTTTTCTTTCTTTCCCCAAGCCTGAGACACACACAGTGTCGGCCGACCAGATCTGACACATATGCATAATGGAGAATCGCACGTCTACCCTCTGACAGGGGCGAATGAGGCGCACAGCCTTGATATAAAGAGCGTGCACACTTCGAAAGCCAAAGCTTCTGCCCTGAAAGATGAAATAGGAGTCGGAATAAACGTTCCAGCCATCGTTATCGGGTGAAACTCCCAAGCTGTACCATCCCATCGCCCGGCCTCCACCACCCACCCGGTGGCCGAACACGAGCCCGCGCGGGTACCTCCATCAGAATGCGCTACAACATTACACTCAGAAAGATGCACGCCGGGGAAAGGGTAATCGAAGCTTTTAGACCATGACGCTCTTGAGTCCATTGTATAGTTAGCGAGAAAATCAGCTACGACATTGAAATCTCGCTTCCGCTATGCGACGGGGTCGTGATGTGCTTGAGGAGGGGCCCATCCCAATTCGAGCATCGACACCAAGTTGTTGCAGATACTGCTGAATATGGGTTCGGCTTCATTGTCTCTCAGAGGCACTTGTCCCATGGCGACGCGCTGCGCAGGCTGGCAGTCGACGACAAGCAGGAAGCGTGATCCGCAACCTTCCCAATCCACAACGATATTTTCGTACTGCGTTGCGTGGGTGCCGGGGCAGCTGAGGAGGTCCGGCATGCGCTGCCTCTTCAGCGGCGGTGTTCCTGCTGGACTATCCGGCTCTCTGTCAGCGCCCTTGCAGGCTACCCCCGGGAGTCCCCATGAGCCACAGATTTGGTTTATGAAGTGGGCCAAATTGGACTTCCAAGCCGCAGCCGTGCTGAACTGGTCCAGGTACTAGCGCCACTGAGTGCCGTATACAGAACAGAAAGCATCTTCCCATCCAGCTGGATGACCGGTTGTCCGCTGGGTGGCACTGAATGTTCGTCTGAGTTTCCACGGTACTTGCCGCGCGCCGTCCCACCATTCTGATGATCTGTATCGCTGAAGTGCAAGAGCGTGTGCTTGAAAACGAGGGTCGGGGAAGTTCTCCCGCCACGCTTGCATAAATACTGCGCGGAGTACCCGTTGATGCAAAAGCTGCACGACAATTTTTGAACACCATGCACAGATAAGCAAAGCAGTGCGCTGGTTGTACTCCATTACCACTTCGTCTGGTCGACGACATAATCTTAGCACTTTCCGTAACCATTGGAACTCCCATCTTTTAATGTCTGCCAAGATGTGCTGGCTCAGATGCCACGTGCCAACTCCGAATAAAGCAGATGATGCCGGCCCCTGCTGCCACGAGCGCAGTTTGGACGGCACACTCCCAATCCCGTTGAATGTGCAGGAGTGTGATCTGCAACGCCCTTCGGCTTTGAGTAATCTATGGTCCAAGCTCCGTCGCGTAGAACCTGCGCTATCAAGCAGATTCCCCAAAACTTCAATTTCAGTCACTCTGCACATCACGACTGGGTTGACTTCATGAACGGATGTCTTTACCTTAATGGTATTTCCCCCTGGGGGCTCGATGCCACCTGCGCACAAATATTATCAAAAAACGACTGCTTCCAAGTAAGTCTGTGGCGGTAGACTTGGATCGTGACCTCGGCCAACATGGTACGGAACTCGCCCTCCCCTGAAGCGAATAAGAAAACATTGTCGGCCCAGACAAGGTGCGTCAATTTCGGAACGCCCTCACCGGGAGAGAAACCGAAGCCCCTCCTGGCCCATTCTGCAACCAGCGGTTCGAGAATGACCTCCAAAAACATGTTAAACTCGTCCGGCGTTTCGGCCCCACCCTGCTTACCTCCACGTTCAAGAGGAAACCTCTCGGATGCTCCGGCTCCCGGCACGCAGAGACAGGCTTGAAACCCACTGAGTTCGCGGAGAAGGCATCGCACGAGCTGAGGGTGTAGCCCTCGTTTGAGCATCGCCTCGGAAAGCAAACCGTGATCCATACAGTCGAAAGCAATGGCGACGTCTAGGGCCCCGAGAACTAACGGTAGCCCCCACAGGTTGGCTAAATACAGGCTTTGCCTGATCACCGCCACGAGGTCATCGCAACAGAAGCCAGGCTTGAAACCGAGGCTGTATACGATCGAATTCAACAGCTCGGCTCGGACGAGGCGCACGACGCTTCTGGCAAACCATTTTTGCATGCAATCCAACTTAGCAATCCATCGGAAACGTTCGTATGTGGACGCCGCGTGCTCTTTCGGCAACCCCTTGAAGTCAATCAACTTCCACTCCAAAATCTCCTCGGGATCTGGGTCCTCCAACCTTCTGGCAAAATGTTTCCAAATATTGACCGCAACTGTGAACGGCAAAGCCTGGTATACTTCTGGCGGGCATCGTCGGCACCCGCGCTGGAATCAAGTTTTATCTTAGAACGGCCAAAGAGGACGTCAAATAGAGTAAATGTTCGGGGTATCCGTCCGTCGAGATTTGCGCAGACAGCGGCACTTGATAAACTGGCAAGGCGGATAGCTTGAACATGGGAGCCTTTAGACTCGTCACAAAATCTTGAAGTACCAAATCACAAAGCTTCTTCCAACCAGCTCCTCCTCCTCCTCCTCCTCCTCCTCATCCCACCTCCTCCTCCTCCTCCTTCCCACCTCCTCCTCCTCCTCCTCCTCCTCCTCCCTACAGCGTTGCCCCTGGTCCGTGCAGGCCCCATCCGAGACCGCGCGGCGTCTGCCACGGCCACCGCAGAGCAGCGTCGGCAGGCAGCGGCCAGGTGCGGCGCAGTGCCTGCGCGGAGCGGGCTCCATCTGCAGTGCTCGGCCCAGGGCGTCGAGGCCCTCGAGGAGGCTGGCGGCGGCGCCGAAGCCTGGCTGGGGGTTGTCAGAGGAACAAAAAGTGCTGCTGCTGCTGCTGATGATGATGATGATCATCATGATGATGCCGACGATGACGATGATGATGCTGATGATGCTGATGCTGCTGATGATAATTCGCCGGCCCAACGGACCAGAGGCGTGCTAAGATCTCCGGTAACTGGTTAACAATATTTCTAATTCGCGCGCGCGGGGCGCCCCTGGGGGTCCCCCAGCGAAAAGTACCCCGACCGCCGCCCGACCACTGCTACTCAGAGATGGTTTTCCTCCTGGGTGTGGCTTCTCAGGCCCCCAGAGCGCGCCAAGAGTGCCCCAAGAGGCCCAAGACTGTCCAAGAGGCCCCCGAGACGCCCCAAAGAGCGCTCCAAGACGCCGATGATGACCCCAAGACGGTCCAAGAGGCCTCCAAGTGGCCTCCAAGAGGCCTCACGAGAGGGCCCCGAGAGGCCAACATCATAAATTGTACGATGGTTTTGAAAGGATTTTGGCCTTGTCGCATTTTCGGCCATCCGATGCTCCAAGACGGCCCAAGAGGCCCCCAAGAGCGCCCCAAGACAGGCCAAGAGGCTTCCAAGAGGGCCCCAAGAGGGCCCAAGAGGGCCCCGAGACGGCCCAAGAGGCGCTCAAGACGGCCCAAGACGGCCCCAAGACGGCCCCAAGAGGGGCCCAAGAGGGGAACACGAACCGAAAACTCGAGCCTTCCGCCCCAAGAGGGCCCCAGGAGGCCCCGAGAGGCCCCAAGATGCCGCCAAGAGGCCCCCAAGGGGCCCAAGGAGGCCCCCAGGAGGCCCCAAAGAGGCCCCAGAAGGCTTCAAACATGCGTCCCAGGCGCCCCCGAACGGCTTCTCAAAAGACCCCAAGAGGCCTCCCAAAGAAGCATCTTGACGACGACCCTGCTTGGCCCCAAGAGCAACACAAGGTGCCAACGAGAGGCTTCCTCCTCCGCCCCTTCCTCTTCCTCCTCCTCCTCCTCCTCCTCCTCCTCCTACTTCTCTTCATCCTCCACCTCTCCTTCTCATCCTCTCCTCCTTCTCCCCTCCCCTTCCCCATCCTCATATTCCTCCTCCTCGGCGGCGCCACAATGGCCCCGGGCCCACGGCGAAACAGCAGCGATCATGCACCAGATGGACCCCTCCCAGGGGCCCATCTGGTGCAATTATTCTCCCCAGGTCCGTTGTGACCGCCCCAGGGCCGCAACGCGGCCCCCCGGGGGGCGAGCATGGCAACAAACACTGGCTCGCCTACTGGCGTGCTCGCCCTCCTCCTCGGGGGGCTCGTCGCCGACAGGCTATACAGGGGTCCTCATCCCCCCCACGAGCATCAGCGGTGGCCGCCGCGGTGGGATAATTCTGTTCAGCTATCGTTGGGGTCCCAATCCGCCAGCAAGCCCGCGCAACAACAAACATGTTCTCATCATTCTTTAGGGGGTGCTTGAAGGCCATATTGGGTTAAGCTGCCCGCGTCAGGTCGCGCGTGGGCACGTTCGTTTCCAATGTAGCGTGCCGCGCTGGCGGCCCGCGTAAACCACCGCGGGAGGCCGCTCTGCCGTCTTGCGTAAGACCCGTTTCTTTTCGTCGCTTCTGTGGCGTGAGAGCCGATGGTCTTTTGTTTGTTTCTGCAGTGGACATCTGGAGGCAGATTGGGCTCCGTTGCAAGTTCTTGGATACTGGGCGACCTTGACCTGGGGCCCTTGGCCCAGCTTGGACTTCTCGGTGCCATCAGGGGTCATCTTTGGCGTCCTCTGGAGTCGTACGACCCTGTTGGGTGGTTGTTTTTTAGAAGAGCAAAACATGGCATAAACATAACTTTCGCTGGTCCGTGCGGATTTCTTGGACCTGCGCTCGACCCCCCTCCCAGGCGCGCGGAGCGCGCCGGGGGCGGCGCTGGAGGCGCCGCCAGGTGGCCCCAACGCGGTTCAACAGTTCCGCGCGGAGCGCCAAAAGTGTATGTTTACGGCGTGTTCTCTTCTTCGATGCTCGCAGAACGCCTGACCTTCGCCAGCCATCTTCCGCTCTCGCCACCGCCTCTGTCATCACCGCCCGCGCCGCTCTCGCGCCTGCCTGCCACCCCCACCCCTGGCGCGCAGGGGCGCGACGGCCCCTGCTCGCCCGCGCCGGGGATGTAAGACGAGGCCAGGACGAGGACAGCATCGGGCGAGGATACAGGGAGCCCGTACCGTAAGGATGTGCGATGAGGATGCAAGGGCCTTGGGAGGCCAGTGCGGAGCTTCCCGAGCGGGGCGCGGCCAACAGAAGGGGCCAAGGATGGACCGACGAGGCAAGGACGCAAGGGTACCCTTGGGTTGAGCAGGGACCGACCGTCCCGGCATTCCTACAGGCCTACCACGACATGTTCTTAGACCCCCAAAATGTCTTACGCGAACATGTCTGTTTCCTCCGGTCTTCGTGTCTATCTTCGGTCTTCGTGCTTCGCCTTCGGTCTTCGTGTCTATCTTCGGAAGGAGCCCGCTTCGGTCTTTGTGTCTATCTTGCGGTCCTCCGTGAGCAGGAGCGCGTCCTCGGGGCAGCGGGCCGAGAGGAGAGGGCGGAGAACAAGGCGAGAGGCGCTGGTGCAGGTGGGGGGGGCGGGCGAGCCTCTCCAGCAGGTGGGTGCCGAGCGCACTCGCGCCTGCACGCTTCAAGAGCGACGAAGAAAGAACCGGGACTTGCTCAAGATGGCATAGCGACCTTGCGCGGTGGCCCACGCGGGCCGCCAGCGCGGCACGCCACATTGGAAACGAAGGCGCTCACGCGCGACCTCACGCGGGCAGCTAGGTCGCGCCCGCATGTCATAACGCGACGACCCGTGCGCTGGCTCCTGGCACCGAGCGGATGGCTCGACCCGCACCCTCCTGTCGGCATGGCTGCACCTACTGCTACGGCTGCTTCTCACGCGCACTACGGCAGGTGTCCCTCCTCCCTCCTCCCTCTTCCCTGCTCCTTCCTGCTCCTCCCTGCTCCTCCTCCTCCTCCTTCTCCTCCTCCTCCTCCTCATCATCACCAGCATCATCAGCATCAGCATCAGCATCAGCATCATCATCAGCATCATCATCAGCATCATCAGCATCATCAGCATCATCAGCATCAGCATCATCAGCATCATCATCATCAGCATCATCAGCATCAGCATCAGCATCAGCATCAGCATCATCATCAGCATCATCATCAGCATCATCATCATCATCATCATCATCATCATCATCATCATCATCATCATCCGTAGCCATTTTGGCTCAAGGTGGAGCGATCAGGGCAGATGTCTGGTCTCATGAGGCTGGCTCTAGCCGTCGCGTCCATTCTTGGGTCAGATTCCCAATCTTCCAAGCTTTCAGTGTGGTCCTTGGGGCCACAGCTCTTTCCATATTACATCACCGACACCCGGCCCCAGTCGCCCGATTGGGAGCCCAGCCGCGGCGGGCTCGACCAATGGCAGGACGAGGAGGTGGTGCTCGCGGTGCCGCGCGCGGTGGCGGCGGCAGAGCCAGTAGTGGCCGTGGACAGCGGGGCGGCCAAGCTCCAGGCGCGGGCGGCAGCGGTGCAGCGCCCAGGGTCTGGGATTGCCCTCAGTGCGGAGCCAAGAAGAATTGGGGCTCTCGGCATGTCTGCAGGAGTTGCGGCTACGACTGGTGGGAAAGCGGTTCTGGTACGAGTTCTTGGTGGAGTGGCATGTCACAACTGGACGCCAGAGAACGCCACGAGCTCAACCAGTTGCGGAGGAAGGTCAAAAAGTTGGAGACCAGCAGCCAAGCAGGACCAGGAGTCGATGGCGGTGGCGCTGGGGCGGCAGGCGTCGGGTTGCAGCCTGACGACAAGTCAGAACGTGTCCGCCGATTGGGCAAGCTACGAAGTGAGATCAAGAAGATCGAGGGCGTGGACGGCGCGGAGGCCATTCTCGAATCCAAACGGCAGGAGGCGCAGCAGTTGGAAAACGAGCTGGCAGCAACCAAGCCCACATCAGTCCAGCTCAGTGAGTTGGAGCGCAAGCAGAAGAACCAGGAGGCCACCACGGCGGCCTTGGCGAGCAGGATCTCGGCGGCGGACAAGCAGCTCGCTGAACTACAGGCCCACAAGCTCGAGCTGGAGGGCAAACATGCGCAGAGTCAGGCCGGCGAGAAGGAGCTCCAGGCGCTCATCGACAACCTCCTGGCGCAACAGCTCCGCGAGCGTGAAGCACAGCAGCGGGAGGAAGGGCCGCGAGGGACGGCTGCCCCAGCGTCCCCAGGCGCCCAGCTCAGCGAGGGTGAGCGAGCCACCGCTTCCCTCGCTGCTCTTAATCAGTGCTCAGGCATGCTCGCCCCTGGCTTCGCTGAGGAATGGGACGGCCAAGTCGCAGAGTTGCGGCGTCTGGCACAGCGCGTTGCCGCAGCAGGTGCCGAGGCGGAGCGCGACGGGAGCGGCGACGAGCAGGAGATCGACGAGAAGGACGTCGACGTCATCTTGGACTCCCTGGGGGAAGAGGCCACCGAGGAGGGGGCAGCAGAGGCCGTGTCGGGCGAGGTGGGCAACGGCGAGGAGGCAGGCGACGCTGCAGGCAAGGCCGCCGCAGCCGCCGCCATGCGCAAGCTTCGTGCCCAGAAGCTCCTCCAAGGACTCCGCTCCGCGGGGATCCGCAGAAGGGGGAAGCGGGGGTAGCCGCGCTCACTTCACCATCGCGAGCCTCAACGGCAGCGGATGGGGCCCTTTCACCACCATCCTCGGCGAGCAGCAGGACCCACAACAGCAGGCGGTGGCGGAGGCGCACCTCGGCGACGCACTGTGCATCCAGGAGCACCACCTCAACGGCTACCGCGCCGTGGAGCAGGAGCAGTGGTGTCGTCAGGTTGGCTGGAGCGCCGTGCTGACCCCAGGGGTGAGCTCGGTCGGCGCAAGCCTCCAGCGCGCCGTCAGCAGCGGCACTGGCGTGGCCGTGCGCACCTCGCGTGGCATGTGCGGGCCAGGCGCGGGCGGCAGCAAGGACAGCTGCCACGCGGCCGAGGGCCGCGCGACCATCGTGCACATCAACGGCGTCGTGCCTGGAGGCTTCCTGCTGGGCTCGGTCTACCTGGACAACGACGACGTGGGCGAGCACAGCCAGGGCGTCTTGCAACAGGTTGGAGCCACGCTGAAGCGCACTGGCAAGCCCTGGGTCCTGGCGGGGGACTGGAACGTCGAGCCTGACAGGTTCCACCTCCGCGCGGGGCACTGGCTGCGCAAGCTGGGCGGCCACGTCGTCGACTCGGGCAAGGGCACCTGCCAGCATTCCCCCGTCAAGGAGCCATCTGAGCTCGATTGGTTCATCGTCAGTGTAGATATGCTGGACCTCGCAGCGGGTGCGAGCGCCTCAATATGACGGAGCAGGGCTACGCCAACCCGTGCAGGCCCCACATCGGGGTCAAACTCTACTTGGCTTGTCAGGGCGACCTTGGCCAGTCCTTCCGCGTCAAGGGCCCCGCAGCCTTTCCCAAGGACAGGCCATATGGGCCCATGCCAGCCAAGGAGTGGAACCACGACGAGCTGCGGGACGCTATCGGAGTGGGGGGGGACATGCAGGCCATGACGGAGGTCTACCGCGCCCTATGCGAGGGAGTGGAGAACGAGCTCGTCTGGATCTACCAGATCCCGCCCGACGACGCCAGCTTGTACCGTGGCCGCGGGGGCCCGCCGAGCTTCAGCTTCGGCACGCAGGCCAGGGCGCGCCCCATCAAGGGGCCCAAGGCCAGCTACAAGGGCAAGAAGCTCATGCATCTGAGCGACTATTTCACGCAGATCCATCAGCTCGTCGGCGGAGGCTCGGATGCCGTTTCTTCGGCAGGGCTCGTCCAGTGCCAACTGGACAACGACGAGCGGGCGGCGGAGCGGATGGAGGCCAGGGCAATCAAGCGCTACAAGCGGGTGCTCGGGCGCCGTGCCCGCGGGTGGGTCTCCAACCCCAGCAACCCCGACCACTACGCGGACGAGAACGAGTGGTTGGAAAATTGCGTGCCCTACATCTTTCGCATGCTAGGGCTGCCGACGCACATTGCGACGGGCCTGGCCCAGAACTTTGGGCGTCGCCTGCAGACGGCCAGGGAAGTATGCGAGTCTGCCTGGCGTCGCGGCGGCGCAGGCAGGCAGGAGCTGGTGCGCATTCTTCAGCAGCTCGGCCTTCTCGACCACGACTGCTGGGAGGAGGAGCTGCGCAGGGCGGTGGACAGCTACCACGAGTCCAAGCGCTGGCTGGAAGAGCGGGGTGACTACAGCAGGCCCCTCCCAGGCGCGCCCATCGCCCACGGCTATACCGAGACGGAGAATGGCATAGGCGACGTCGCTCCCCTACCTCCAGCGCTTTGCAGGCTAGCCACCTGCCCAGCGGACGCGGGGGGGTGGAGTGCCATCGAGGTGGGTGAGGCAGGCGTCAGGCGCACACTGGCGCGACTGGCCAACGGCTGGCTGCCGCGCCTGCACGCCCCCGACGCGCAGCAGGACAAGGCAGAGTGGATGGACCTCTGCACGCACTACGCCTACGAGCGCCTCAGCCAGTACGAGGGTGGCAATGGCGACGAGGGTGAGCAGGTCGGCGTCACAGAGGGCCAGTCTGACGGGGCAGGGATGGGAGCCGCATCTGCGGACGGGGACAGCGCGATCCCACCCCAGCCCCAAGTTAACTCCTTTGCGAGCCTCGCAGCGGCAGCGGTAGCCAGCAGTGCGAGGGCCACTGGAGAGGGCGTCAGCGATGCGTCGGCGTCGGGGGCGGGAAGGGGGGCCGCGTCAGCGGAGAGTATCAGCGCGATCCCACCCCCGCCCCCTCGCGCCAGCTCGGCTCGGCCGTTTGGCGAGCGAGCGGCAGCCCGCTGGGCTCGGGCAGTCGACATGTGCGAGGACAGTTGGCAGGCCTCCGAGGGCGTGCGCAACAAGTATGCGCGCAAGGCCCGCGAGTTGGAGGACAGCGACCCCGACGCCTGGGCCATCGCTGACGACGAGCACTACTGCTACCTGCAGGGTGTCAAGCAGTTCATGCGGCACCACGGCGGCAGGCGCGGGGGCAGCGACTGCAGCTCCGACGGCGGCGTCAGCAGCAACGGCGATGGAGCAGCGCAAGCGAGCAGCAGGGCGCCCAAGCCCCCGTCCACGGTGGGCCTTCCCCTCGGAGCCCAGTGGGCAGCACGCGTGGCCCTGGCCGCCGAGTGCCCCAGCCTGCTCCCCTTGGCCGACTGGGCCGCTGAGGCCAGGGCCGAGGCGGAGGCCGATGGAGCAGCCTTCGCCGTCATTCGTGGCCAGGGCTTCAATGAGTGGATCCGTCACTCCATGGCTGAAGGCGCAGGCGGGCTCCACGCCTATCGGCGCGGGCCCAGGGCATGGGCCCCTGACGACGAGTACAGCGGGGCCCCAGCCCATGCCCCAGACCGAGTGAAGCTTGTGGCGAAGCAATGGTCAACAGAGGTCTGGCGGGTCAGGCGAGACCGCGATAGGTTTCGGCCGCAGCTCCCGCGCTCTGGCGGCGAGGCCCTCCCCAGGCCCTCAGCCGATGAGCTGCGCGCGGCCGCCAGGACCTTCAGGCGCGGCACTGGCGTCGGCAGCGACCGCCTCAACCCGCGGAAGGCCGCGGACCTCAGCGACGAGCTTCTGGAGGCAGTCGTTGACTTCGGGATGAAGTGTGAGGAGATCGGCGGCTGGCCCGACGTCATCACGGACTCGCTCGTGGTCGTGCTCCCGAAGCCCCAGGGCGGGTTTCGGCCCATTGGGCTGCTGGGCTGGCTCCCGCGCCTATGGAGCCGAGTCCGTCAGCCCGTGGCGCGGCGCTGGGACTCGCAGATTGACCCTGGCGTCGCAGGCGCCTTCTGGGGCTGGGGGGGCGCGGCCGCGCGGCCGAAGAGGCAGTCTGGTGGCAGGCCCTGCGCGCAGAAGCCGCACACGCACGTGGAGAAGGAGCAGCAGCGGCACTCATCGACCTATGGAAGGCCTACGAGCTCGTGGACCTGGCCATCATCCAGGGCCGTGGCGTCCTGGCTGGATACCCTCGGGGCCTGCTGGGTATGGCCCTCACCCTGTACGCGGGGGAGCGCCGCTTCATGCTTGACGGTAGCGTATCCGAGCCCTACCTGCTGGATGCGGGACTCATCGCGGGGTGCTCGCATGCGGGTCGGCTCCTCAAGTGCGGCCTGCTGGTGCTCGCGGACGAGCATGCGCGGCTGTGGCGGGCGCTCGAGCCCAGAGTCACCCTCGCCATCATGTTCGACGACTGCTGCGTCGGCTGCCACGGACCGATGGCACAGGTCGCAGCCTACGTGGCCCAGGCGACGAAGGCGGTCATCTCACAGCTGGAGGCCCTAGGCTGCAAGGTCTCAGCAGCAAAGAGCGAGCTGCTGGCCAGCTCGCCAGAGCTGGCATCACTGGTCGCCAAGCTAATGGGAGGCATCGCCTTTCCCATCGCCGACTCGGTCAAGAACCTGGGGGTCGACTACTGCCTCGACGGCCAAGCGTTCGTGGTCCTCGAGAAGCGGCATACGAAGGCGGCATCCCAGTTGCAGAGGTTGCACGCCATCCGCTCGCAGGAGACCCCAGCAGCAGCTCGCGTGGCGAACACTGGTCTGCGGCCTGCTACTCGCTATGGGCTGAGTGTGGTGGGTTGGCCGACGTCGCAGCTCAACAAGTGGAGGAGCCAGGTCAACGCCGTTCACCATGGGCACGGCCCAGGCAAGAGCCTCAGCCTCAGTTTCCTCCTCAGCAAGCGTCTGCACTGCGACCCGCTGCACGACCACGTGGCGCTGCCCATTGTCGCATGGGCCAAGGCGGTGCAGTTCAACTCGGACAGCAGGGACCTGAGGGCCCTGGGCAGCGCTTTCGCAGGGGCTAGGGCGCTGCTGGCCAGAGGCGGGCCTGAGGCGTTGGCTGGGCGCGGGCCAGCTGCTGCGTGCGTGTTAGCCTGCCACCGCCTGGGTTGGACCGCCACACTGCCAGGGCTGCTCACCAACGACAAGCAGCAGCCGCTGGACCTACGGACCCTGGGGGCCTCCACGCTCGCCAAGCACATGGCCGATGGCCACGAGAGGGCGCTGTGGCGGGCAGCGAGCAAGCACCCAGGACTGGAGCACCTGCGCGATGGAGGCGCCCTGTCCAGTATCAGGCGCACACTGGCACGCAAGCGCATGAGCAAGCAGAAGGCCAAGCAGATGAGCTCGGCCAAGAACGCGCTGGTCGGATGTCTCTGGCCCGTGGCGCGGCGGTTCTTTGAGGAACGCCCATTGGCCTCCTCTCCTTGGTGCCCCAGGGGATGCCCTGCGCACGGCACAGTGCGGCACCTGGCGTGGCAGTGCCCAGCCACCGAGGTCAGCCGCGGCGAGTGGATCTCCAACGAGGAGGCGGGCGAGCGGTGCCCCCCTGGCGACATCCCCTTTCGCACCATCGTCGGTATGGCCAGCATCGAGGGAGACGAGGACCCGCTCTGGCCCCGCGCTCTTGCACCCGAGCACTGGAGGACCCTGCCACCGCCCACCGACGCCAGGGAGGCGCGGAAGGAGGGTCATGCCGACTTGGTGGGGCAGCCGCTCTCGGGCGACCTCTTCACGGACGGGAGCGTTCTGGACCCCAGCCTCGTCTCGGCGCGCGGCGGCTGGGCGGTCGTCGTCATGGGGCCCGACAGCGAGGCAGTCAGCCTCTTCGGCCCGCTCCCCTGGCCGTACCCCCAAGAATCAGGGGCAGCGGAGCTGGTGGCGGCCATCGAGGGCATCCAGAGCTGCCTACCACCTGTGCGGATCTTCACTGACTGCAAGCTGCTCGTGGACGGCTTCGCGGCGGGCAGGGCGTGGTGCCTGCAGTGGCAGCGGCCTTACCGCGAGCTTTGGGTGCGGTTCTGGGCGGCCCTCGACGACGTGGGGGTCGGCAGCGTCACCATCCACAAGGTGAAAGCTCACGCCACGCTGGCGGACGTGCAGGCGGAGCGCGTCACGGCCTGGCAGCGTCGGGGCAATCACAGCGCCGATGCCCGCGCCGTGCAGGGCGCGCAGATGCATCCCAGCGACGACGACGTGCGAGATAGGAGCCGCAGGCAGGATCGCCTCGTCAAGAAGGTCTTCTGCTGGCTGGGTTCGGCGATGCAGGAAGGCGACGCCGAGCTCACGGCAGCGGACGGGCACGAGGGCCCAGGCTTGGGAGCAGTTCGGTGCGATTGGCGCGGCTGCAAGATGCGATGGCGAGCTCACTGCAGTTTCCCCGACTGCCCGCAGCGCACGTGCGGGCGGCACGGGACGTGGCTGGACGTCGACGGCGACACGGTCTGGGCCTGCCAGCGGTGCGCGGGCAGGGGCGACGCGCTCGCGGGCTCCTGGGCCTCAGGGGCCGAGAGCAGTGGCGGATCGGTCGCTGCAGCCGCGGCGCTCATCACGGCGGGCGCGGCGCTGCTGTCCCACAGTCAGGCCAGCGAGGCACCAGCACAGGTGGAAGGAGACGAGGCGAGTGCAGGGCGAGTCGGCAGCGGCGCGCCTGGCGGCGGCCAGCGGGGTAGCCCACCGACGTCGGGGGGTCCTTCTGGGGCCGGTGGCGGGACCCCGCCGCTGCCGCCGCCGCAGCTCCCGCCTTGGTGGGGATTGGACGCCCACGGCTCCCACGACCTGTGGCGGGCTGGTAGCCACCTCTTCTGCGTGAAGTGCGGCTACTGGACGCAGAGCCGCAGGCTGGCGGGCTTGGCAGCGGAGTGCCCGAAGGCCCCCAAGAACGATAGGCAGAAGGCGGTGTTCAGCAGGCTGAAGCGCGGCCTGCAGCCCGCTGGGGCGGGCGGCATCGGCGACCCTGAGCCGCTGCGGCGCATGCGCAGGCGCGTCGATGGTGGCTAGGCTCTTTCTTGCCACGCTTGCCGCCTCGCTCTGTCTGCCATCACGCGAACAGACGTGTGGTTTGCACACGGCTGTTCGGGCTGCCTCTGCAAGGCAGCTATGCTTGTGCAGCCAGTCGGAGGCTGGACCGTGGTGGTAGGTTCGCACACCGCCATGGTTGCCTCCGATCGAGCCAGCATGCTGATCAGCTCGGGCGCAGGCGGGTCCAAGGATCACGAATGCCTGCGCCGAGCCGCTGCCTCTCTTGGGCAACGCCTGTCGCTTGGCGCCTTCGGCGCCTCCGTTTAATGTAGCTGCTGGCGCGCCTTGGGCGCGACAGCCCGCGCAGCTTGCTGCGCTCCAGCCCGCTCTGTGCTCTGTGCGCGCCAGGCGGAGGCCGAACCGTGGTGGTAGGCTATGGCCGACCGTCAGGATCGCCTCCGAAGGTCACCTCAGAGCAAGTCGCCCCGTCTGTGGCCTGGTGCCCAGGGGGCTGTTGCTCTGGTGTGGCGCGCCGAGCTGTATGCGAGCTGAGTCGCCGTGAGGGCTCAGGTGCTTTGCTGATCGCCTGCCTTTGGCTGGGGCGGTCGGCGGCCTCAAGGCTTTCAGGCGAGTCTGCGAGTGTGCCTTGGGCACGGGTCAGGCCTTGCGTCCGCAGCGCCAGAGGGAAAGGCCATGGCCTCGGGAGGCTGTATCGAGCGGGGAGCTCCAGACCTTCTTGGATGCGTGGATCATCATCATCATCATCATCATCATCATCATCATCATCATCATCATCATCATCATCATCATCATCATCATCATCATCATCATCATCATCATCATCATCATCATCATCATCATCATCATCATCATCATCATCATCATCATCATCATCATCATCATCATCATCATCATCATCATCATCATCATCATCATGTGTGTCGTGACGACCTCGGCGTTTGCTCCTGACACCGCTGGGAGGCTCGTGACCCTTCCCCTTTGTTCTGAACTTCAGAATATAGTAGGGGCCCGACCACGAGGAGCCTTCCACAGGAAACCCAACCCCGAGACCCCAGGAGGTCCACGGATGCTTGGTGTGGGAACATCACATCCCAAAACCATCGACACCCACGAAACCAAGGGCAACCCGGAGGCGAGCAGGGTGTTCCTTGGCATGGGCCCCCACCGTATACAAGACTCCCACGACCTGCTGCCGAAAGCGACCCTCCCGGGCCAGAGCCCCGGAGCCGGGCGGCGCGTCCTTGGAGGCCAGGAGCGCGCTGACGGCCAGCAGCTCCGAGTGGCGCCACGAGTCCTGGGGGGAGGGCGCCGCGCTCGGGCGGTCGGCAGAGCGCGCAGGGGGGAAGCTGGCACAAGCGGGTAGGAGGAGGGGGGGAGGCTTCTCAGGGAGACGAGGAGCCGGAGCCGAGCCGCGAAGCGCGACGCGCGAAGGACCTCGCGTCCTCGGGGGCGCCCGTGGAGACGACGCGCAGGCAAGGCGGGACCGCAGGCCGTCAGTGTCGTCGTCGTCGTCGTCGCCGTTGCCGTCGCCGTCGCCGTCGCCGTCGTCGTCGTCGTCGTCGTCGTCGTCGTCGTCGTCGTCGCCGTCGTCAGTGTCGTCGTCGTCGTCGCCGTCCCAATCATCACCCCTCTCTGGGCCCAGACCCCCGACGTCGGACGTCGTGAATTTCTCACAACAACGGCCCCCAGAGGACCTCGACCCCTTCGCCCGGGTCCAGTTTCTCGTCCGGAGTCGTTTGGTTCACGGTCCCGAGGCCTGGCAAGGGCCCCAGGAGGCCGAACATGGCGGAAAAAGCCTCCCGTCGTTGTCTTGTTGTCTTTGCGACACGATCCTGTCTGGGTCTCTCCCCTCGTTGCGCCAGCCCCGATAAACGAGCCCTCGGAGGCCGAACGCATAGCGACGAAGCCTCCCGCCGTGGCTTTGGTTCAAAGCGCGAGGGGGGTCTGTGGGGCGCGGGTCCTGCCGCCGCGGCATCGCCAGGCGCGCCTGGTCGAGCGCGGCGGCGAGGCTGCGCATGTGCCCGCGGGGAGCCCGCACGGGACGCCGCGGCCGGGGCGGAAGCGGGCACGAGGACAAGGCAAATCCTCCTGCTCCTGCTTCTCCTCCTCCTCCTGAGCCCCATCTCCCTCCGACCCGCCCTCCTGCTCTTCGAACGTTTCCTCCCCCTCCTCTCCCAGCGTGCACACAAACACACACACAAACACACACACACACACATATATGTGTGTGTATGTACGCCTCGTTACTTTCTGCCCCCGCAGCTAAGGGGCGTCTTTACCGCTCCAAACGCACCGGGCACACTGGACACTCGCTCACGACCACTGAAAATGATAGCGTGCACAGTGCCAGGTGCCGGGGGCCTCGAGGTTTCCCAAGGGCGGGCGTGGTGGGTCCCTGAGCAGGACAGGCTACGGAGAAAGAAGATGCGGTTCCCACATCGCCAGACAACTGGGTACAGGGTGTCTGGAAAAACGCGTCTCTTCAAACCACATCGTGCAGGCGGCTGTTCTGTCTTCGGCAACTCTGCATTTACACGCAAACTTAGACCATACACGCAAGAACCATCGCGCGCGCTTCGAGCGCGCTCAAGTTCGAGCTAGGCTTGATGGGCGAACACATGGAATATTATCCTTGTCGGTTGTTGCATCCAAGGACTCTCTTGGAGACCTTGCGCAAGCATTGGAATCGTATAGAAGGGGGACTACGGAAACGCAGAAATCGTTATTGCCGTTATGTATTCAATGATTGGGCTCTCGAAAACTTCCTGTTTTTTTTTTTCTTGGGCCTTAATTGTGGTGGGCGAACTTGGAAAAACACGGAATGGTGAAATCCCCCTTTTTCTCAAGCTGTAGTGCCTGGGCTGTGGGTTAGGCGTTTTCTGCATGCAGTGCATGCGGGCCACCGTCTGTTGGGATGCCTCTCGGGGTCTTCGTGCAAACATCAGCAGAGGGTGAGTTTGAACAAAAAATATCTAAAATTACACTGCTTCAACTCATGGGATCATGGGATCTCGATTTCTACAGTGGTTGCAAGGGCAGCCAAGAGGACACGAAGACGATCCAAGAGAGTGCCAAGACAGCGTCAGAGAGTTCAACCGACACATTTTTGCATGTGACCCCGAAGTCTTGACGGGGCTCGAGGAAGAGGATAAGGAGTAGGAGTCCCAACTTGAAAAAAAAAAATGAATCTCTGAAAGTCAATTTTTTCAAATCCATCGGCCTTGGAGCGTTGGAAGTCTGAAAACGTGAGAAGGCGAAAAACGTCGACAAAAAAAACTGGTAATCAAGGGTTTTACTGTCTTCGGGCTCTCGGGACGGCTCTCGGGACGGCTCTCGAAGCTCTCTTGGGCTCTTGTGGGGGCCTCGTCGGAGCTTTTTCCGAGTCGTCTTGGGCTGTCCTTGGGCGTTTTGGGGGCTCCCCGGGAAGTCCGGAAGCGCGGTACCGGGAGCGTTCCACAGATGTGCCAGGAAGGTGTGGGACAGGAATAAGACCGATTACGACCACTTCGGACTGTTCAGGAACTACTTCGGTCGGATTGCAACCACTGGAAACAGACTGACCGCGTCCTAAAGGATTCCTGTACAAACCTTTCTGAAGAACACCGGATTGCAACCGATCCAAGAGCTTCTGCTGAGCTTCTGCAGAGCTCTCTGAGAGGCCTCTGAGAGGCCTCCCAGAAGCCTCAGCGAGGCCTTTCAAAGGCTTCTCTGAAGTCTTTTTCAGAAGCTTTTCTGAAGCCTTTCAGAAGCTTCTCTGAGGCTTTCCAGAGGCGTCTCTGAAGCCTTTTTTCAGAGGCTTCTCTGAAGCCTTTCGGAGGCTTCTCTGAAGCCCTTTCAGAAGCTTCTCTGAAGCCCTTTCAGAGGCGTCTCTGAAGCCTTTCGGAAGCTTCTCTGCTGCCTTTCAGAGGCTTCTCTGAAACCTTTCAGAGGCTTCTCTGGAGCCTTTCAGAAGCTTCTCTGGAGCCTTTCAGAAGCTTCTCTGAAGCCTTTCAGAGGCTTCTCGAAAGCCTTCCAAAGGCTTCTCTGAGGCCTCTCTTAAACTTCTCTGAGGCCTTTCAGAGCCTTCTTTGATAGGCTTCTCTGAGGCCTCTGATAGGCTTCTCTGAGGCCTGTGATAGGCTGCTCTGAGGCCTCTGAACGGCTGGCTGCCCTGAGGCCTCTGAAAGACTTCTCTGAGGCCTCTAAGAACCTTCTTTGATAGCCTTCTCTGAGGCATCAGAAAAGGCTTCTCTGAGGCATCTGAAAGGCTGATGTGAGGCCTCGAAGAGGCTTCTCTGATAGGCTTCTTTGAGGCCTCTGGTAGGCTGCTCTGAGGCCTCTGAGAGGCTTCTCTAAAAGGCTTTTCTGAGAGGCTTCGCGCACCGAGGAACACGGTGGGGCCACTGTACCCGACGAAATTCAACCTTGAACGATCGGGGCCGCGATCGATTCAAGGTTGAACAATCGACGCGGTGCCAAAAGCCTTGCGAATGCCAACGCCGCACGAACCTACCGTAGGGGAGTTCGTCCAGACCTCTGGGGGTCGACGTTCTGGAAAAATCATGACGTTGGGGGTCTGGACCGCCGCGTCTACCCGCCTTGTCATCCTGTCCTCTTCCTTTTCCTCCCCTCCTCCTCCTCCTCCTCCTGCTCCTCCTGCTCCTCCTGCTCCTGCCCTTCCTCCCTCCCATCCTCCTGCTCCTTTCCTCCTCCCTCCCTCCTCATCCTCCTCTTCCTCCTCCTCCTCCTCCTCCTCCTCCCTCTCCTCCCTCCCTCCTCCTCCTCCTCCTCCTCCTCCTCCTCCTCCTCCTCCTCCTCCTCCTCCCCCTCCCCCTCCCCCTCCTCCTCCTCCTCCTCCTCCTCCTCCTCCTCCTCATCCTCCCTCCCCCCTGAGATGCAAGCTGTTTCACGCCGGGCGTGTTCGTTCAATTTCGGCTTCAATCGTATACGAATCACACAAGAATCGTATACGGTTCATGGCCACGTTCGAACTCAAATTCATGTGTTTAGCTGAGATCATGATCTGTCGTCTCTAGTCGGACCGATCGCAACCGCTTTTGAAGATTCCCTTTGGGCGGCTTAAAGGGAGCTCATTGCACCCAGAAGCGCTCTTATGACTTATGATCTCTTCCTTCATCAACATCTTACTGAAACGACCCCAAAACATCGCAACCACTTCGGACCGATCGCAACTGGTTGCTATCGGTCCGAAATGGTTGACGATCGGTCCGAAGTGGTTGCGATCGGTCGTGATCCCAGTGTGGGACTCCCGACAGGAGGGGGCGCGCATTTGTTGAACTTGAAAAAAAAGGAATCTCTGAAATTTCCTTCTTTGTTTTCGAATTCCTCGGTCTTGGAGCGTTGGAAGTCGGAAAACGTGAGAAGGCGAAGAACGTCGACAAAAACCAATGGAAAACAACGATTCAATCCTCTTCGGGCTCTCCCTGGACGGCTCTCGAAGCTCTCTTGGGCTGTTTTGGGGACCTCGGCGGGGATTTTTTGGGAGCCTCTCACGGGTCTGGGGTGTGTTGGCGGCCTCTGGGGGTCCCGGAGTCCTCTCAGGGTCTCTGGAGGCCTCCTGCTCCCACTCTTGGGCTCATGTTGGGCCTGTTCTGGGGTGGTCTGGAGCTGTCCTGGGCGCCTCTTCACTTGGACGGTCTCGGGGCCGTCTTGGGAGCCTCTTCGGCCGTCTTGGAGCGTTGGAAGCATGACATGGTGAGAAGGCAAAAAAACATGAAGCAAAAACAATCAAAATTACGGATTCGAATTTCTCTGGGCGCTCTCGGGGGGCCTCTCGGAGCTCTCTTGAGATCATGTGGAGGCCTCCTGGGAGCCGGGGTTGCTTGAGAGCGTCTTTGGCCTTTCTTTGACGTTCTGGGGGTTTCTTGGGGTCGTCTTGGGCTGTCCTTGGGCGTTTTGGGGGCTCCCCGGGAGGTCGGGAAGCGCGGTACCGGGAACGTTCCGAAGATATTCCGGGAAGGTGTGGGACTCCCGACAGGAGGGGGCGCGCATTTGTTGAACTGAAAAAGTTGACAAAAACCACTGGAAAACAACGATTCAATCCTCTTCGGGCTCTCCCTGGACGGCTCTCGAAGCTCTCTTGGGCTGTTTTGGGGGCCTCGTCGGAGCTTTTTTGGGTGCCTCTCAAGGGTCTGGGGTGTGTTGGAGGCCTGTAGGGTTCCCGGAATCCTCTCGGAGGTCTCTGGCTGCCTCCTGCTCCTGCTGTTGGGCTCATCTTGGGCCTGTTCTGGGGTGGTCTGGATCCTCGAGCTGTCTGGGGCGTTTTTTCGATAGCCTTGGGGGCCTCTTCGGCCGTTTTGGAGCGTTGGAAGCATGACATGGTGAGAAGGCCAACGACCATGAAACAACAATGAAAATTAACGATTTTAGGTTCTCCAGGCGATTTCGGGGGGCGCTTCGGAGCTCATTCGAAGTCTCTTGGAGGCCTCCTGGGAACCTGGAGAGACGCCCGGAAACTATCCTGGGTTGCTTGGGAGCGTCTTGGGCAATTCTTGTACGTTATGCAAGGTTCTTGGGGTCGCATTGGGCTGTCTTTCGGCATTGTGAGGTTTTCCCCGGGAGGCCGGGAAACGCGGTGCCGGGAGCGCAGTCGAAATGTGAGCGAGGTGGGGGACGCCCGGGAGGGGGCCCGGCGTATCTGATTACGCCATATATGCACACTCGTACGCCGAGACATGCATATACATGAATGCGTGACGATCTACATTGATATGGGGTGGACATATTTTCCTCGCAAGCTCCTGAGCCGAAGGCTACGGAACACGACGCGTCATGCCATGCTCGCCTACCCCTTGCCTTGCGTGTACAACACCAACACGCCCCCTCGGCAAACCTGTACCGCGCGGAGGTCACGCCGAAATGTTGTTCCACACCTCGACTGAAAATCGCCGCCCGTGCGCCAGCCAGGCTCGCTCACGCCGCAGCCGCGCAAGACTTCACTCGTTCTTCTCGTCGAGCCTCCTGTCTGGGCTCCAG